CTTTTTATTTTCTTTTCTTTTTATTGTATGTTGTATTTGGGGAGAGTTTTTTTAAGTTTGAGATGATTCATGTAACATTCTAATCATTAATTCCTCTTCTTAAATACTTGTCTTGAGAAAGAAGTGTTTAGGAGAAGGAATTTTGGAGAAGTTTGTATTTTATTTGGTGTGCATTTATTCTCGGTTTGGCGTTTGTATCAACCTTATTCATCAACTTGGATTACTTGTAAGTTGTTCTTCTTGTAATGATAATTTGCAATGAATCTTATGTTTAGTTTATTTTTGATATGAATAATTAAATCATTTTCTAGGGATAGGGATGAATATTTGATTTCGTATGTGATTATCGTACTCTTCGATTGTTCATTTTGTATGAGTTAATTCTAAATTCGGTTTTTGATTTTTACTTTGGAATGACATATTGTTGAAAAGTGACAATTCAACCTTGCAATTGATTTCTAAGTATTGAAGAGTGACACTTCAATGTTAAACTTGTTTTCAAATTGAATATGATGTGTTTATTGTGACGATCACGATTCGAATAGACTAGATGACTAAAAATCCTATAGTCTATTTTAATTGACTCTTGAACCGAAAAGGGAAAGGTCAATCGATCGAGATTCATACAAAATAGACATAATCCGAAAGGTATTGTCTATGTGTTAAACAACTCGTTAGTGTACCGTTTATATTTATTCTCATAATCCGAAAGGTATTGAGGATGAACCTCTAAACGTGTAGGTGACTCGAACTCTTTAACCGAACTATCACGAGAAGATGATTGCATTTAGATCCAAAACATTTATTCCCGATTCCCTAGCATCTTTATCATTGTGTCATTTATATTAGTTAGATTATTGTTTTATATTATTATTTCAGTTAATCATTTTCCAAACCTATCAAGATTAGAATGTTTAGGTTTTATTTTCCATTCTTGTGATTCCGACACCAATACTAGATTCCGAACAGTCTTCCTCGAGAGATCGATCTGGGAATTGAATCATTCGATTCGGTGCTCGGTAAAATAATAATAATTTGTCTACAACAAATTTGGCGCCGTTGCCGGGGAAGGCAAGTAGGATATATAGTTTTGGTGTTGATCTTATTTTCTGTATTTCTCTTATTTTTGTGATATTTGCTTAATTTCAGTGTTTCTCTTGATTTTGTTATTTTTCATTTCTATTGTTTTTATTTTTTTGTAAACATCGTAAAAAATAAAAAAAAAATTATATATTTCCTGTTCTCGTGTGCCTTGGTTGTTTGTTTTTCTTATGCGAGGTGTTTTACTTGAGGAGCTCCGATGGACCCATACGGTTATTCTTATGTCGGAAGCTCGTCTCGTGGATACCCCGACAACTACCTAGAGAAGATGCACTCATATGGAGGACCACCCTATCCGTATACGAGCTATTCAAATTCCTATTGCTATGGCGGATACTCTACATCCCAAGGGTATGATCTGAGTCATTCTTACACGACATCTCAAGGCGGATATGATTCTTATACTCTAAATCACTACGAGACGCCTTATTATCAACATTCATCTCCTGACTATCACCAAGAGGTTTTGGCGAACACTCAAGAGGTACTTACAAGCCTTCTATC